CCCCAAAACCCCAAAACCCCAATTTTAATCTTAATTACCAATGTTTGTAATTATTAAATAAAGTAAATTTAATTACTAATAAATTATCAATATTTGACTATAACTTTCAACTAAATTTACCTTAATTTCCAAAATCATTTGTCACTTGGAAGGTTAAACTACATTTTTTCTTAGGGGTTACATTTGAAGATTCAAAAAATTGACTGGCTGATTTTTATTCTTAATAATGTCATGCGCATTCTATGTAGATTTTACTTTCGAAAGAAAGTGAGAAGAAATCTTTCCATTTTTACTTTTGTAGGCTTTGTGGGATTCAAGATGACTCAACCCCTAAATTATTTTATTTTAATTTTTATCTGGAGAAACAATCTTATCTATAATTTCATTTAGCTGCTCTAGTTTCTTTTTCTCTGTCCTCTCAAATATTTCTTTTGGAGATTAGAGATCTGACTGAGCATGAAGTTTTTAAGTACTTTAAAATGATTTTTAACTTTTATGGATAAATTGTCTACCGTTAAGAGAATTACCTCTCTCATAATACACACTAGGAGTTTAGGGCTTATTAAACATAGTATTAATTTAAGTATTTGAACCTATTATTATCCTAGGCCTCTTCTTTTTGAATTTCAGTTCTAAAGTTTATGTTGGGATGACAAGTTATTCTCTTTATGGGGATGGCTTCCTTGAAGATTCATGAGATTTCATTTAGTCCTGAGTATCAAAAGTTCTTTGAGCAGATTTTAATATTCCAAAACTTTAATAGTTTAAAACTGGATTTTAAAGAATAATTCTTCTATTATAACTTGTATAGGGTCTAGATGAGTCACTTGTTATCAGATCATTGTCTTTGTTATTTAGAAGTTTCTTAAGGTTAAGAAAAATCGGCACTTCAGTTGTTTTCAAGGCTTATTTTTCCTGTTTAACTTTATCTTTCCTTCTATCACTAACTCCATTTTTTGGAACATAAAATAATCTCTTCTAGATAAGATCCCTTTCCTCTTGATTGAGATTACTCTTCTTTATCTAGTTTTGAAGCTGTTCTAATTGCCGGTAAAACTCATACTCGCCTATTTCTTCGCATAAAAACTGCTCAACTTCCAAACATCCATAGCTACTCTTTAGGTAAGCTTCAATATCCTTAATGTTCAGCTTTTGCTTAAGTCTCTAAAGCTTTGACTGTCTCATTCTCGCTAAGTAACTCTATAAGCCATACTAGCTCCTTGCTCTAAGGCTTGCTGTCGAATTAGCTCTGTTAATCATTTTCCCCTAATCACCAGTCTTGGAATTTTCTTCATCCTTGCTCATGCTAGTAATGACAGGTCTCATAGTGATTCCATATGATCTTTACGATCTCCTTCCAAATATTGAGTCTTCGCTAAACATTAAAGATGATATGATGATGCAAATCGTACGAATTAGTAAAGTGCTCTGATACATATGGACTTGTAGCCTCATACATGTAGGAGTTCGACAAGTTTTCTTCATTAATATTTTTATAGCTTTATTATTTCTTATCCTTGTCAGTGACTGATCTTTTGTATTTAAAATAATAGCAACTCGAGTTATTCGACATTTAAGAGTTTTCCTCAATGAAAGAATTCTTCTCCTGTGTTCCAATATTCGTAACAATCTATATTGATATTCTGTTTTTCATTTTACTTTTATTTAATCAAATCAATCAAACTACCATTTACTCATCATATTTTTTTAACTCGGGGTTTTGGGGTTTTGGGGTTTTGGGG